TTCGGGGGGGGTGGGGGGGAGGGAGAAGAAAGCAGCTGCTGCCGACAGCCATGCATTCACAACTGTAAACGTAGTGCCAACTACAAATGACCACTTCCACTTTTCCCCAGGGGCCTGGGAATGACAGGGAACAGATTGCTCTAGACCAGTGGTTCTCAACCTTCTTTGTACCAGGACCCATTTGTAAACATCAATGGCAAGTCCTGACCCAGTGCCCCTCACTCCCGACCCACTACCCCCTGGCCCCAGCCCGCTGATGTATGGGGCAGGGGGTTGGTGTGTGGGGCATGGGGGGCCCCAAGCAGCCCCTTGCAGGCTGGAGCTCTGCCAGCATGCAAGGGACATCCCACGGTTTCCCTCTTTTTTCTGCTTTAAAGGAGGATCCATTTTTAAAGTTTGTTTGCGACCCTTTCATATATTCTTACGACCCACTTTTTGTTCATATGCTTTCCAGCTAAAGCATGCACTCCTGCCGGTGTCAGACATGTCTATTTGTTACACAGGAGCAGGGGGCCTAGGCCCACCAAGAACCTGTAAGCCTCCCTCTGTCATTAGAGGGAGACCACTAACTGTGTACCAACAGGATACTGGGGGAAACAGATGACAAAACAGGAACAGGAATGAATGTGAAAGATTAATAACTAGTGCTTCAAGGGTGGGAGACACTGACTAGCACCCTCTGCCCCTTGATTGTATCCAAGGAGCCTGTGGACACTTCTCAGTAAAACTGCCAGGTGCGGGTTACCAGGGATAGTATGACAACCATTTATGCATTGTTGACGTGGACCACGTGCACCAGCAAGGCCTTGAGCCGCAGCAGGGTGGCTTGGCTAGAACCTTGTAATCCATGCAGAGGAACGAGACTGGGTGCCCGTTCCTCCGTTCATGGGTGTCTCCCTTTTTGGGAAGCAGGGTCAGCACAGGGAGAGCTCCCTGTCTCCTTTGGACTCAGCCGATACTGTGGCGAGATTCTGGCCAAGGACATCACAGAAGGTATAGCAGAACTGCATTATCAGCCAGTCAGTAATGGAGACTTGTTGGTAGGCATCATCAGATTACTCTCTCAGTGAGAGGATCCTCCAGCCAGTACACTTGCTTGTGCCGTCCCTCATGGCAGTCCCTCTCTCAGCACCTGACAGATGTCAGCATCAGGCAGATTTGATGAGAAGTCTTGCAAAGAAGGCCCCTTGGCTTTTTGCAGCTTGCCAGGATCTGTGTGTAGGGTGCTGTCCTCTGCCAGGAAGCAGGTGATGTACTTCTTGGTATCTCACCTCTTCAGGGCAAAGAAGAAGCAGGAGGCATGATCCATCTCCTGGAGGAGCTGGATCTGCAATTGTACAAATGTGCCATGGGTGTGGTGGCTGTCCAGAGCCTGGAGCTCTTCTTGCTTCTCCTGAGACTCTTTGCACAGGAACAGGCTGTCTGGGTCAGTGGTGAGGCTGCTCTCCTCTCTCCAGCTCCAGCTCAGGTGACCACCTTTTCCAAATTGGAAGGCTGGACACATGCCTGCCTCTCCCCTCCCCCCCACCCCACCCCAGCTCCCAGTGGCGCGGCCAGAGCAGAGCGGAGAGGAGCCCATGGGGGGTGGAGGCCAGCTGCCCGCTCTGGGCTTGGGGTTCCCTGCCTCACTGTCCTGCCCTTGGGAGCCTCATGCCAACCACACCACTATAATGAGGGCCCCCCTGCCTGCCTGGCAGCAGTGAGGGGCACGACTCTGTCACTGCTGCCAGGTGGGCAGGGGGCACCTTGCCATGACAATGCAGCCGGTATGGGGCTCCCAGGGACAAGATATCAGGTCTGGAAGCCTGAAGCCTGCATCCTCCCTTGCCCAGTGCACAAATCAGGGAGGCATGGGCCCCTCCCATGCCCCCCTCCCTGGGAGTGTGCTCAGTGGCAGGGAGCTATTCCCACTTTCCCTCCCCCCCCAACCCCTGGATGAGCCACCCATGGCACCCTCCCACTCCCTGGCCAGGCCCTGTGGCTGCACATTCCTGTCCTGGGCCCTATGCACTGCCCCGGCTGGGCAATAGTGATAGATGACCCCCCTTAGGATGTCTGTGGAAGCCTGATTCCACTCTCTGCTGGTTTAGTCTTGTGCCTGAAGGGTGATGTCAAAGCTCCTCCCTAAGACCAGGCACTTGTAAGGCTCAGAGGGCGTTTATACACATGTTCTGGCAGGTTGGGGGGAGGGCGCTTTAATTACAGCAGCTCCAAGAGTTGATCTTAATTAAAGTGCTTAGAGTGTCACATGTATCAGCATTCCCTTGCTGAAAAATGGCGGCAGGGGCACTTTAACTAAAGCTCTTCAAACAAGCTTTAGTTAAAGTGCCTCCGCCACCATTTTTCAGCACAGGGACACTGATACATGTGACGCCAGAATCTGCTGGAAGTGGCACTTACCACTCTCTAGCAGACTTGATTAACTGATGCATGTGTATGCTTTGATGCATGTGTATAGGCACCCTGCCAGCTGAAGTTGAGCTCAGAGGAGACTGATTAAGGAAGCATCCCCAAACAGTCAGGCTTGGAAGACTTTCCATTCCCTCTGAGCTCCCTGGTGCTAACCAGGACCAAAAGTGGTAGTGCTGAAATATGGCAAGAGCCCATTCGTTTTGGATTTCCCATGCAGTTTTGCAGAGGAGCCAATTGTTTTCTTAGGCATCCACAGGCCCTGAAGCTTATTTTAGTGACACCTCTGAACATTTGGAGGCTGTGCCGGAACTTGATTGGATGCAAATCTATGTGTAGCAAAGCTTTGCACAAAGCTCTGGATTTCCCCTTGCTCTGTTTGTCATGTCTCTTCCTCGGCTTCCTCTTCTCCGCGTTGACCGTGTTCAGTCATTGTGCAGATCTCTCCTGCTGCAAGCCACTATGGGGTCTGAGTGGTGTGAGCTCTACACAACATTTTCTGCTGTGTTCCCCCAAATAAAAATCAGTCATTCATGCCTTCCTCTTTTCATCCCCACTGACTTAATCAGAAAAGCAGAGGAAAAAGGACTTGGACTGTAACCTGAGGCCTAAGTTCCCCAAAGTATCTGATTGTAGGGAAATTAGATAAGAACAGTATATCTGGAGCCCCAGTGGCTGGGGCTTACGTAAGTCTCATTCTCATGAAACAGTCGTTAAAAGAGAAAAAAAAAATATTCCTTAGGAAAAATACTAATACTATATGACAGGTAACTTCAGTTTCTTAAGACCAGGTGCCTCAGGAAGCCTAGGAACCCACTGGAGCACCAGCCTTGCCTAACACATCCACAGGTAGCTCCAAAACTTAGTGGACAAACCCTACAAGTAGGGTTCACTTTCACCCCCAATTGATAGTTCACCCGGTTGTAGCATAGCAGTGCGTCTGCAAGATGCCTTGCTATCAAGAGAAGCACTGATCTCTGCTTCCTAGCAAAAGACAGACTGCAGAACTCTAAGACTGACAATGCAAAGCACTTGTCTTTGTGGTTTGTATCTAAACTTTCATGCTTCTACCTGAAATTCCAGTTTCACTCCCATGACCTCACTGCTTTGTGCCTCAGTTTCCCTGAATCTGTTGTAACACTGTGATTCCACTCCATATACAACTGTTCTGAGATTCCCCCTATTAATAATTTGAAATGCTTTGTGATCATCAGATGGAAGTGCTGGAGAAATGACATTAGTTAATAATCCAACTAAACAATGATCATTATCTGCTGCTGTAAATGTGGGTCAGCAGCACCATTAATGGGCATGTTTCACTTTCATTTCATTAACTTTTTTTCACATATAAGAGAGCCCCCTGCTTCCCCAGATAAGGCTCTCACATGGCCCCTGTCCCAAGGAGCTCATGTTGCAAACAAAAAGCTCATGGTCTTGCACATGTGCAGGAATATATGCCAGAATATCAACAGCAACTAGACTCACAGACAACAGCCTGCATGCTCACTCTGGGCACTTGTTCAGTTCTGCGGACCTGCTGACCAAGCAAGCAGAGACATGCAAGTACAGCCACACTGTATTGTCTCAGCATTATGCTCTACTTCACACCAATTACAAGTGTCTGATTGGGAGGGGCAGGATGCTCATGCTGTTCTAGCTGACCACAGCCTGAATTTCAATGCTTCTGGATTGTGCCAGCAAATGATACCAAGTGGGGTTTGCTTTAGTGTCTGGCCAGAGCACAGGGGTACTGCTGATTTTCAGGCTATTTTTTATGGTAAACAACTGTATGTGTGGTGCAACAGACTCAGGTGAAAGGACTTAGAAGCTGCAGAGGGCTGAAGCTCAAAGGACATGCACAGAGCATCAGACCTCAGAAAGACTGCCAAAAAAACCAGGATCAAAAACAGGGAATGGGAGGTTCTACAATATGCTGAAATACACTGAATACGGCTGCATTTGCATGCTCTGTTCTGAGATCTGAGCTTCATAAAAGTTGCTTTCAGGTTACACATTCTATTCTATTCTATTCTATTCTATTCTATTCATGGTATCCCTTAGTGAATTAAGTGACATGACCAGCATCAGTCATGCCTGGTTTGTTGTGTATGCAGCATGGAACATTTTCTTAGGGAGATTTATAAATTCTGTGTAATCTCTGCTCAGTGTGTGTTGTGCTGCTAGAAGGGGATCACGACTGCCGTCAAGGGGAGTGTTTGATCTGAGCTATTAAAACCCCTTTCACGTAGTGGTAACTGGAAACAATAGGAGGGCACTGATAAAGGCAGTGGGCTGCATGGCAAGATCTATTCAG